ACAAGGGTTATATCCCGCGAAATCCTATGAATCAATACTTCAACGGTTCATCGTATCCTTTGTAAGTGTAAAAGAATCAATTTAAGTTTCACTTGTACACTTGCACGTAACTCACATCTCTTATCCTTTTTTTTTCTCCCTCTTTGTAGTGCACTGTTGAAGAATCACACGTTGAAATTTTTGAGCAAAGCGTTGCCTATACTCAAGGCTGATGATTCATTGCCCAAGGTCGCCACGGTTCAGTCCTACTTCCAAAATTCGTTAGTAAACACAGAAAAATATAAGTTTTCCTCTTTATGAGATTTTATGATTTTTTTTTTTTTTTTAACATTTCACTTTTTCTCCAAAATGTAATTCCCTTTCTTTTCTTTCTCAACATTTAATCTTTTTTCAAACATATAAAGATACAGGGTTTTCTCTCCATAGACTTTAAGAAGTGTAATTTCTTCACCTTTTGCTTTCTTCTTAATATCAGCGTCGACACCGACGAGAAACGAAGCAGAAGCAAACGATCGTCCGATTCAGAGAGCGCGTTGGACACACTGCGAAACGGTCGTAAATTCTGCGAGAATGGCGGAGGAGTGTACGTCACAAAAACACTGTTGTATAGAATATTACTGAACAAAACAACAAAAAAAGCAAAAACAGTTTGGATATCTTTGAACGAAGGGAATTTCTGTTTCGTGTCAAAGGGTGTGCATGCTGTACAAGGCTATACAAGGCGAACCATTGGCTACCTCGGCGGCTGAACGCCGTGACGAGCCCTCCACGCCCGAGTATCGTCAACGAACACCACCGCAAGAGAAGCCAGAGTACACCGGTCCACCCACTCCTTGTCCAGCCAAAGTGGAGTACGCGACACCGGTGTTCGCCAAGAACTATCAAGGAGTTTGGCGCTACGTAGTCCAAATCCCTTACGAGGGTTACTTCACGCAGACTATCGAAGTAACCAGATGCATGTAATACACGATACAGACCATGAAATCTTTCTCCCAATTATATTGTCGGCTGTGATTGGTATCGTTGATAATAATTTCTAACGTCGTTCGAACTTTCAATCACACAGGCAATCGAGGTGCCATTATCTCGACGGTGGCTGCCTGTCGTCGCCAAGATGGACTAGCCTTCTAGTAGCGGAGATATTCTATCCCGACACGTTCCTGGAAGAGAATCAAAACACGAGAGTTGCCGGCCTGAAGGACGCCGCCGGCTCACCGCCCCCCGTTCACGATTTCCAGAATTACCAACAGTACCTGCAGAAACGCGCCGGGGAGAACGAGGCTCGCAACAGTGGATCCCAGCATCATTGCGACGGCGTCGACGAGATGGGTTGCTTCCAGGTAATCTAGGCGGACTGGGTCTAGGTTTTAAAAGAAAACATGTTGGACAGTGCCACGCGTCGCGATATAACGCGATTCCTCCATGTGACTGTAGAGCAAATGGCAAATGCAAACGCGACGTGATTGAAATTTTTTTGTTCCTTTTTTTTCGCATTGTATTCTACTTATCACTTACCACTAGTCAAGCCTAACCTGAACCTAATAGTTCTCTCGAAAAATGACAGAAAAGTTTCTTAATTTAGCACACTGCGAACGCACGAGTGCTAACAGCGACTTTATGGTCTCGGAAGCGTGGACACTTATTTCGTATTGGGTTTCACTGACATTTGATATATCACGGTCGAGTCTAAATAATCAAGTGATAAAACTAACTGTTAACGTTACTCGATACATAAACATTACATCCACGCGTCCAGAACTGTAAAGTCGCTGTTGGAACGCACGTTAAATGATAGGGAAATGTTCTGCCATTTTTCACGAGAACTATTAGGTTGCGACCTATGGTTCCTTGGAAAAGTTTTACCTTCGTGATGAGTAGAATACGATCCAAGAAAAAAAAAAAACTTTTCGACCTTGAGAGTCATGATAGCCACGGAGATCGTGCTGCGTGGCACTAAGATGCTTCAATGATAAATTCTCTCTTTTCATACTTTTTGAATTAATAAATTTCTTGACACACGGTGCGTTTGTGACGTAGGTGAGACTGTACTACGACTGGTTCCTGGTACCGGGAAGCTGCAAGTGTTGGCGCCCCGATTACTTCAATCGCTACGTACGTCGAAGTGGATCTAACGTTGAATTGTGATGGCGGTATCGCATGCCAGATCGCGTGGATGAGCAATAGGACACGCTTGCGACACGCTTGGATCGATAAACCTATCAGATTTAACCTCGATGTCTCGATCGACCGATCGAAAAATGTTTCGCGTAATACAGGGTAGGCCAAAGATCACTTCCTACCGGTGATTTAAATTTAATTTGAAATTAATGAAATTAGTCATGTCTTCTTATATTTTGATATTTCATTGAAAAAAAAAAAGGTAGGAAGAAACTTATAGCCCACCCTTTGTACACAACGAAGAATTGCTTTTCTATAAAATCGGCTGGAAATGACCGTCGAATGAGAAGAATCGCGACCGACGTACATGGTAGCTTTAATATATTGATAATACATCGACTGCTGTTAAACCTGCAGCATTGTGCGTGTTAAAGACTGAAGAAAAGTACCATTATATCGCGAACGCAGTAGAACGCGCGCTAATGGAAAAGTTTGCCTCAACGCGCGTTGTTACCAAGTATTTCTTTCTCTTTTCCTTTTTTTCCTCTTCTTTTTCTCTCTTTTTTTTTTT